CGTGTAAGTATATAATGGGAAAAATTAATCTTGCGATGAAAACAGAAAATCTGTGTGTAACTTACAGGCGGTAAAAAACTTACGCACTAATCTATAGAAACCGGGGCCCGTGGGCCACTCTATCGCGCGTCGTTTGCAGCGACAAGATAAATCGCTTTCATCATCGTCTTCTCCCCCGATATCACCGTACCTCAAATATCGTCATCAACGATCGGTCTAATCGAGCACCATCGTTTTCGTGTAGGCACGAATGTGTCTCGTATAGAGGAGAGCTTTCTCCGACTTTCATTCGGCGAAATCCGTTTGTTAATCATTAGGAGAATATGCTTCAACCGAACGGTACAAAAGACGTCCTGATCTCTTTAGGCGGTCCCGTCTTTCAAATATTAATTGGATAATTTTTTTTATCTGTTCACGTAATAAGATCGTAAGATGTTTGTCTCAGGCAGGTTAAAAGTCTACCTTTGCAATATTAATTTTGTCAAAATATTACTTCCGTCGATGGATCTCGCGAGAATGGTGAGTAAAGGTGTCCTCTATAAGTTACAGTTTCGATATTGCGCTTAATCGCACTTGTCTTTCTATTTACCTCTCTCTCCGTATATCGATTCTCCTCCCGGCCTATATGTTCTCCTGTAATTTCAGATAGAGATCAACCACTTCTACATATGCGCTCCATACGTCCCTAAATCACAGCCACCGCATCTTTCTCGTGTCGAGTCGAAACCAACGTATTTTGATTTTAATTCGAATTTAATTCAATGCGATACATCGACTCAATACGACATCGTTGGCATGCGATGGTTGCGATCTGGGGGTACGCACGCAGGGGGCTAGGGGTCGGCATTAGATGGGTGTTTTTAAGGTACAATTACAAGAACGTTTAGAGTCGAAATATTTGGTACGACCTGTTTCTCTCTTTCGATCACTTAGAAAAGATGGGGTATCCCCAGACAGCATAAGTGTCTAAAAGGTCGTAAAGAATATCCGAAAGAACTGGGCTTTCCGGAAATTATTCACGTAGTATGTACGTCTCGCACATACATCCTAGACTTTTGTGCTGTTTGAGCAGAAGTTAACGTACCACCATTCTCTACGAATATTCCCTTGTAAACGCGTGTCTTCTACGTCTCAGGAAGTCATGGTAAATACCTTTTACGCTTTCACTGTGAGATAAAAATGAATGAGAGACCTATCATCGACTTTCTAGAAATGATCATGTCCCATGTAGTGAGAGTCTCGAATAAGCGCGATGTTCGACATGTTCTCCGTCCGCGTAAATCAATCGCCATCGTTGTCCGTCGTTGTACTCATCGCCTCACTATCTTTGTCAGTTCGTCGCGCTTTGGCTTAAAACGCCCTAGTTGAGAGAAAGTTAAGTACAAAAAGTTTCATCGACATCCGCGAGTGCACTCTCGCTGATTTCAAGATCGCCAGCGACGGATTTGCGGATATCTGGATTCGAGGATCGAGGTTCCAGGATCAGATATCCGATAATTCGCGCAGCCGACGAAATCTGTGATCAGAAACCTCGCGACCACCATTCCTCCGCGTATCTCTATTCTCTACGATATAGAAACACGACACACAGATAATTCCTACCCTAGTACTTCCCGATGGAATTTAGCCCCGTTTTTTTACCTACGCACGAATAGACATTTACGACGAGAAAGGGGACCGTTAATCACGTAACAACGAAGGGTAATGTTTTGCAGATGAAAACGTGGATCGTTCTCCTCGTGTCCTCCATCGATGGAAACCGTGCGGTCCATCGACGACACGAACGGTGAATCCTCCCGATACACGCGCGTCCATCGAACGCGCGTTTTTGTCCCGCTCACCAATGTACGCGTCTCCCCGCGTAAAGCGGATCTGCGGATCTTTCTCTCATTTTTTTCTTTTTTTCTTTTAACTGATACACTGAATACTACGCGGTGCTCTTGAAGCGGCAGCTGTGTCAGAGAGATATTAAAAGTTTTACTTTGATCTGTTGATCGAGGAGAGAGTGCGGGCGAGGAGGGTCTCGATTGTTCGTTGAACGCGGATCGCGAGAATTAGAATATCCTAAGATCAATTTGTATTTGGTAACTAGCGTACGGATTGTCGCAGAACCGCGGCGCTTACGGACCGTAATCGTCGATTCGCGATCGACCGTCGTTCGTGTAACGTCATGATCATCGTCCCCCTTTTCTTCAGCCCCCCGGAAAAAACCTTCACAAGAACGTCCTTAAGAACTCGAATAGTGATCGATAAGGTATTTGCAGGCGGTATCAGCGCACTACGGGCTGCGAACGGTGCAAAGTGTAGAAATACAAACATTCGTCGGACGCCTGATAGGCACCAGTTGTTATGCCAGCGCAGCGTGAGCCTTAATCAAATGCGGAATTCTTCCTATCGGTAGTTGGTTTCTTAGAAGTAAGTAATTAATTTATACCTTGTATCCCCGTATAAGAGAAAAAAACCCCCGCGATCTCACCCCTCTCCCCTTTCTCTCTTCTCGTCGCCCGCACCGTCTCCTCACGAAGGAATAAGGAGAACGTCCTAAACTTAGATTAAACAATCCCAACTTGAGACCTGCGAATCGCGATCGAAGTCGAGTCGGTCTCGCTTCCTCGGGACTGCCTCTATATTGTTCGACGGAATTTCTACGATCTTGCTAGGCCGCGGAGCTACGACCGCGAGGGAATCTCAAAAATTTCGAAATGCTGTTCGTTTTCGGGTCTCCTAGAAGGGAGGGTCAGGAATCACCTGACAGGACGGTAGGTCGGCCTTAACGCTCGACCCTTTTTTTCTCTCTTTTTTTTTTTTTCATTTTTTTTTTCTCCCGCGGAAATGGGTCCAAAAGCGCGGAGTAACAACGCGTTCTGGACGCCGCTCAGAACTCGACTATTACGGCTGAGCAGGCCGCCAATCCCTAGAACTCGAGCCTGTAGGCGCTGCAACTAGTCTCGTGATCCTGGAGATTAATAGTGCACCGAGATGCGGACGGTGACAGATCTATGCGGTTCGCCGCGAGCGCTTCCTCGTTATCGGCGACCCAGTAACCCAGAGTGTCGGTGTCGTAGGTCGGAATCATGGTTACCTCTGAGAAGAAAGAAATTACATTAAAATAATGCTTGGAACATCGAAATATGCTCCATTATTAAAATAAAGATATAATCCGCATTCCAATTAATATTGCATCGTCTTGACTCCAAATCGCATCTCGATATAACATTTACAAGTAATAATTAGTACCAAATAATTAGTACCAAATTAATTAGTACCAAATTAAATGAAAAAAGATAATAAATAATCAATAATATTTTTGTAGAATTTGAATTACATAATATATTTTTAATTTTGATTAAAAAAACTAATCTATAAAAAAAAATATAAATTTAAAATAAAATATAAAATAAAAATATAAATTTGTAGATTTGTAACATTTTTAATATAATTTTAATAAATTTACCGAGATCTTTGTCCTCCCAGGTTTTCTTAGCTTCCAGCAAAGCGTCGTAGACTTCTCGGCTGGGCTCAGTTCCACTGAAAACGTAATATCTCGCTCGCACTCTCTTGAAAAATTCCAAAGAAGTGTAGTACGAATTTCCATGATGGGGCACATATGCCAGGTCCATATAAACCGATTGGACTTTATTTTTTGAATCCTTCATCTTCTTCTCGTTTTTACCGGGACTTTCCGAGCGTTTCTTATTCTTAATATTCTCCGATTGGACTTTTCTCGCTTGCTTTCGTTCCTTCCTTGGTGTACCGGGTGTTCCTTTATTTGACACTTCATTAGTCACCGGCGCGGGAGAGGGCAATCTAAGAGGTTCTCCCCAATCTTTCATAACGTCGAAGTTCAAAGTATCGGAAGTCGTTTCGCTTGAACATGATGGCATTTGAGCAGAGCTTTTTAGATTAAACTTTTTGGGAGGCTTAGGAGATGGCAGACCTAGAGGAGTTCCCCATCCTTCCAAGGGATCTTTCTTCGAGTCACCTTTCGATTCATCCTTAGTATCATCCCGGACCGAAGATGACGGATGATCTTTCTCGTCGGCTGTTTCATGTCGAAGACTGCCATTTGTGTATCTAGGTGCTATTCCACTGCTAAAGGCCCCGCCTCCAGCTTCCTTCACGTCCTTGTGCTCCATCAAAGCCTTGTCGAAGTCGAGGTCGGCTTCGTCAACATATTTCTTTGCATCCGGCTTCTCGCCATAACTGCCGACGGGTTCCTTCTCAACTGTAAATCGGCTATGAATAGAAATGGGATCGCTACTCTTTTGCATACCGGTCTCGCCGTGGAAGGTCTTCATGGCGGAGATCTGTGGCGGCACCGCCGGCAACTCACCGTAGAAGCTGCTGCTCATCGCGGCCGCCGAAAATTCGATCTGTTTCTGTTCCTCTTCCTCGCCGGGGGCCGACTCGTCGTAGCGACGTGTCGCTTGTGGCGAATATCCGACTTGGGAGACCGAAGAGAGAGGCGAGGTAGGTGGCTCGTCATCGGAATAGATCTGCCGCTCCTCGCTGCTACCCCAGGGTTGTGTCATGGCTTTGCTACGTACACTGCTGTGCTCGCTCGACGGGCTGATCGGATCGCGATCTTTTTCGCTAGTCGCGTCATCGGATCCCGGACTGTCGCTACGTTGCAATTCTGAGGATTTGATGCTGCCGATGATGTTACTGATCGCACTCTCCGCGGCGTCCTTGCTCGGCAGACGTTCGTCCACCTTCACGTCGGTCTTCTCCGCCAGCACGACCGTCTCGCCCTTTTCATTCGTCGTCTCCGTGACCTCCCTAGTAGTCGTCACTATCTCGCCCTCATCGGATATCGTCTTCGTAGTCGTGACAATAGTTCGGATCATCTCGCCCGACCTGAACCCTTCCGGTGTGCACGTTGACGATCGACCATCGGATTTTCTATCGGGCGTTGATCTACCTGATACGTGAGGTTGGACCACAGCGCCGTCCCTAATCAACGGCGACATGGGAACCTCCGGTGTAGATTTGCCGGTTGAACCACTGAAGACGATATCCTTGGGCAACGATATGTCTGGCGAGGACTTGCCTGAATAACTCTTCTCATCAGATATAAGTTCTCGTATCAAAGGAGATACCGGATGCTCAGATTTATCTACATCTTTAGCCTCGAGTTTATCCTCTTGTTTGAGATCAGGTGTCGATTTGCCAGAGTCGTAGAAGGCTTTTACGTCGGGCGTCGAAGTGCCTGACGTCACACTCGTGATTGTTTCCTTGATTATCTTTTCCGCGGGTTTGGTTTCCGTCGTACTTTTACTGGAGTCTATCAGTTTGTCCAATAATTCCTCGCTGGCCACAGTGTCTGTGCTCTCTTTGACGTCTTTCTTCGTGATGACTTTGCCATCTGGACCGGTGATCGTGGTTACCGTTGTTACAATTCGCTTGACATCGGCACTACCTGTCGCATCAGATGCATCTTCGTCACTTATAACCTTGTAAGTTGTACCTGAGGTAGGATCCGTATAAATTTTCGAAGGATCAATCTGCGCTAATTCGGTCTCCGGTAATTCCTCTGTCACGATCGTTCTCGTTGTTTTCGTCGTAATCGTTTTCACATATTCGCCGGAATCTTCCTTCGAGTCGCTTATCTCTTCGTCAGGAACGACGATCTCACGTCTAATTGTCTTCGTAATAATTTCAGGTTCATCCTGCTCAATAATTTCACGTTTGACAACTTTAGTGATCACTTCCGGCTCGTCATGTTCTACAATTTCCCGTTTGATAATATTGGTAACCGCTTCGGGTTTCTCTCGTTCGACACTTGACCGTTTAACTTCTTTCGCTATTTCTTGTGATTTGACTTCTTCAACTTCTTTCGTGATTTCAATTGATTTTTCGGGTTCTTCCCCTTCAATTATCTCGCGTTTAATTATCTTTTTAACCACGATCACATCGCCATCCGATTCGGCATGATCATCAGATATATCTAATTCGGATTTTTTTAGGTCATCGGACGTAATTTCCGGCTCTCCACTCTTGCCGATTTCATGTTTCACTACCTGCGTAACTGTCGTAGTCTCCGTTGGTTCGCCTTTATCGACAGTTTCCGCGATCTTGCTTTCTCTCAATATGACAGTTTGCGCAGATTGCACAGGCTTCGTGTCTTCCACATCTGTTTTTGTTATGTGAGTTGTGGTCAGAGTTGTGGACTCCGGTAATTTGCCGGATGCTTTGCCGGTCGATTCGATTCCAGATACGGAAGTCGTTTCCTGCGTAGCAAATTCCGGAGTCGATTTCCCGGACAGCGTGGTTATGTGCGTCGTCCGCATCTCCGTCATCCCGCCGACGAAGGCCTTATGGAACTGGCTCTCGTATTCCGCCGGATAATCAGGCTTGTCCAACTGTCGTTCACCGGATTCCGGATACATTTCCATTCTGTACTCGACTGAAGATTTCCTTGCATCGTGCGGTAGTTCGTAATCGGCTGTTTCCTCGTAACGATATACTGCCTTATCATAATCTTCTCTCTCGTGATAAATCTCCTCATCGATTACAGATTCTCTCGGGATCTTCCTCTTGACTATAATCTCCTCCACGATCTCCAAGATGATATATTTAGGCAGAGAAGTCCGGACGAGTATCTCCTCGAATATCGCCTCCGTGATTTTCTTTCCTTTCTTTATATATTCCTCTTCCAAGAGCCTCTCAATTTCCATACGCTTCTCTTCCGATATCAAGATCTCCTCGTCAATATGCGGCTCTGACCGAGCTGGACTGTCCTGCGTCGATTTGTCGGAAGGAATAGGCTCCGGACTCAGGCTGGGACTGGCAAAAAGCGCTCTGCCATGTTGACCGCTTCCCACAGGAGATGTCTTGCCATCCTGACTTTCGCCCCTCATAGTGTCGCCTGGTTTCTCGTGATCCTTGATGTACTCCCGAGTAACATCACTCCTTTCTAAATCCATACTTGGCGTGAACGGTTTCTCTCCTTTTTCAGAAATATCTAGACTCGTATCTCCGAATTCTCCTAGATCGCCTTCGATCACGGTGTTTCTAGATATCTTTCTCATTACAATAATCTCTTCGATAATTGTAATAAGGACGTACCGCGGCACAGATTTCAGAACAATTATTTCTTCCAAGATTTCCGGCGTGATTTTCTTATTTTTTGCAATGAACTCTCGAATGATGTATTCTTCTATCTCCGTTTTCTCTTGCGGCGCCAGCGCTTCCGATTCTGGTTTTACATCGTATTGAGAGTCGGACGACTCGCTCTCAACGAAGTCAAATACCGCGCTCCTGGATACATTTTGCCGACTAATAATGTCCTCTATTATTTCCATCACTACGAACTGAGGCACCGAATATGTCATGACCAATCTCTCGATCACTGTCAAACTGATTTTTCTTTTTCTCATAATGAACTCTTCTAAGATGTATTTCTCGATTTCCGCCGTCTTCTCAACTGTCACTTTAACAACATCTTCTTCCTCATCGGTCGATTTCTCTATGGCCTTTTTACTTGATTGCGTGAGATCCGGTTCTTTGAAATCAGCAAATCGTTTCTCGCGGATCTTCTGCATTTGTTTCTCGATTGTTTCGGGAGAAGTTATAGGACTCTTACTATCCTTCTTACATTCGTCTTTTTCGTCAAACGGTTTCTCCGTGTCAAGATGTGGAATGAAAGTATCCTTTTCTTCCTGAGGAAGCAATTTCTCTGGCGGCTTGTCCTCGAGTAAACTATCTGTTCTAGATCTACTGGCCAGTGTTTTCTCACCAACGTCAAAGACGCTTTGCGAACGTGATTTATCTTTCGGAGTTTTGTCCACTGGCGAACTGGCTCGCGACGATTTAGCAGATTCGTCCTTCGAAATTTTTCCAGTATCCAAACTCGGCGAAATTGAGCCTTCTCCCTTCGTTTCTGATGTCTGTAAAATCTTGATGTCACTATCATCAAGTCTCTCGCTGGCAACGCTGGACGATCTGGACTTGTCCTTCTGCTCGTACTTGTCATCGACTAAACTCGGTGATTTTGAGACATCGGACGGTGACTTCGGTTCTGTTTTGTCGCTGATAATGCTTAACGATCTTGTCTTATCAACAAAATCCAATTCACTCGTCGTTTTTAATCCTTCAATATCTATTTTCTCCGTTGGTTGCTTATCCAAAGGTTTATCAAGAACAATGCTTGTCAACAACGATGTATCGTGCGGCATAATATCATCTGATTTCATGTCCATTTTTCCCAAAATCGTTGAAGGCTTCTCCTCGACATCTTTTTCATGTGGCATTTTCACATCGGCAAAAATCGGTGATTTATCGCCAGCACTTTCATAATGATCTTTGACGCTTATCTTGTCATCCTTGTCGTCTGATTTATCGCTAGCGATACTGGGAGATTTGCTTCGATCAACAGGTGGATCCAATTTGTCAGAGACAGCAGATGTCGTTTTTCCAAGTGATTCCGCTTTCTCGCTTGCAACGCTTGATGATCTGGACTTATCGGCTGGTGGTTCCATCACGTCTTTAAAATCTGGCTTTTCATCTGTAACGCTGGTCGCTCTCGAGCCATCGACAGATTTCTTTTCGTCAGACTTTTCACTTGCCACGCTTGGAGATTTACTGTCATGCGGTTCCTCTGTTTTATGAGGAATTACAGGAGATATCGGTTTTTCAACCGATTCTTTTTGATCACCTGTCGTACTTATTACACTGGGCGATCCGGATTTGTCAACTGGTTCTGATACGTCTTTCAAATCCGCCACATCTCCAGCAACACTGGATGGTTTGGAAGTAACAGTTGATTTCGCCCCTTCGCTAGCTATGCTGGGAGATTTGCTCCTGTCGAATTCTTCTTTTTTATCCAAAGCTGTTGGCGATTTTGCTTTTTCCACAGGTTCTTTCTGATCAGACGTAATGCTAGGTGATGTAGGTTTATCTATCGACAAATGTTCTATAACTTCCATTAGATCAGGCTTATCTCCAACAATGCTTGGCGATTTCGACCGATCTCCAGGTTCCTTTACATCACTCGTAGCACTCATCGAGCTAGGTGACCTTAATTTTTCATCTGGTTGTTCCGTGACGTCCTTCAAATCTGGCTTCTCACCGATACTACTTGGAGATTTAGAACGGTCAAGCGATTCCTTCTGTTCTCCTGTAATGCTAGGAGATCTTGATTTTTCTGCAGTGACATCTTTTAAGTCTGGCTTTTCTCCAGTTACACTTGGCGATTTTGAATAATCCGCAGGTTCTGCAACGTCTTTCAAATCTATCTTTTCTCCTGCAATACTCGGAGACTTTGAGCGATCAATTGGTTCTTTTTGTTCGGTCGTAGCGCTAACGACACTCGGAGATCTCGACTTTTCCATCGGTGTTTCCGACACATCTTTCATATCCGGTTTTTCATCGGCGATACTGGATGATTTCGAACGATCAGCAGGTTCCTCCTTTTGTTCAGTCGTAACACTAATGACACTGGGAGATGTTGACTTCTCCGTTGGCATTTCCGATGCATCTTTCATATCCGGTTTTTCACCAGCAACACTGGGTGATTTCGAACGATCAGCAGGTTCCTCCTTTTGCTCAGTCGTAACGCTAATGGCACTTGGAGATGTTGACTTCTCCGTTGGCATTTCCGACACATCTTTCATATCCGGTTTTTCACCGGCAACACTGGGTGATTTCGAACGATCAGTAGGTTCCTCCTTTTGCTCAGTTGTAACGCTAATAACACTTGGAGATCTTGACTTCTCCGTTGGCATTTCCGACATATCTTTCATATCCGGTTTTTCGCCCGCAATACTGGGTGACTTTGAACGATCCGCCAATTCCTTTTGTGTACTCGTCGTACTCACCATACTGGGCGATCTAGATTTATCAAGAGGCGCATCTATTTGCTCTCCCGTAACACTTATGCTCGGTGATCGTGATTTATCAAGCGGTTGTTCCGCAACGTTCTTCGAGTCTAGCTTTTCATCAGCAATACTCGGTGACTTTGAGCGTTCTGATTCTTTAGATTCGCTAATAGCACTCGCAATACTCGGTGATCGGGATTTGTCTGATGGTTGCGTTGCATCTTTCAAGTCTGCTTTGTCTTCATCAAGTTTCGAAGATTTTAACGTGTCCTTTAGTACTTCGGCTTTATCGTCGGATGATTTCGACACTGGAAGCTGTTCTGATTTGTCATCTTTAACGCTTGTGACACTAGGCGATCGGGTTCTCTCGATTGGTAAATCCATATCTTTGGAATCTATTTTTTCTACAGAAATGCTCGGTGATCTAGAACGGTCACTTACTTTTTTGCTATCTGATTTATCACTAGCTACACTGGGAGATCTATCTTTATCATGTGGTTCTTCAGTCTTATCAATAGCTTTAGGCGAATCTGGCCTATCAAAAATAGGGGATTTTGGTTTTTTAAATAACTCTCCGTTACATCTTGAAGGTCCGGCTTATCCGCGGCTATGCTCGGTGACTTCGAACGTTCGGCCTCCTTCTTTTCATCGGATTTATCGCTGATCGCACTTGGAGATCTAGCTCTGTCAATTGGTCCCTGTTCATCGTAATGTTCACTCTCGAAAATAGGCAATTTCTCACTTATCGTTTCCTTCTCAACACAGACACTAGGCGATTTCGGTTTATCAGTTTCTTTTTCATCAGCTTTATCACTTAGAATACTAAGGGACTTATCGAGAAATTTAATATCCTGCTCGGATTGTTCACTAGCAATACTCGTGGGTTTATCCACTGATTCTTTCTCTTCTAGTTTCTCTAATTGTTTAACATCTGTGGCAATTTTATCGTCCAATTCTTTTGATTTCTCTAAAGATATCGGTAATTCTTTGTCTACGTCTGGTTTAATTTCTCTAACGGGTTCAGGTAATTTTTTAATGATTTCTTCGGCAGCAATATCTTCTTCACTAATAGGTGCCTTAGCAAAATGCATTTCAGGTTTATCTGTAGGTGACTTCGAGAAAATTGTTTCGGCTGGTGAAACGTCCTCTGAATGAAGCGATTCAGGTGTTTTCGGAAGACCGATCGTTCCTTCTTTTTTAGATTCTGGAAGCACCTTCTCGATTGGAAGTGTCGGTTTCTCAGCTGATTCTACTGGAGATTTCTTATCAAAAGATGATTCTGGCTTCTGTATATCTTCGTGTTTCATTTCAAGCGGTGAAGGAGATCGTGATTTCTCGATTTTTTCAATAGGAGAACTAGGTTTCTCGATCTTTTCTTCAATCGGAGATTTGATTTTCTTAATTTCTTCTGCGGTAGCTATCGGTTCTTTTTGTTCTTCCTTAGGTTCTTCCTTTGATTTATCTTTTTCTATAATTTTATCCGACACTTTCAAATCTTCTTTCTCCTCGGGTGATTTCGGCTTTGTAACATCTTCCAATTTCTCAGACATTAGTTTATGCAATTCCGATTTTTCTAAACTATCTTCAAGATCTTGTGAATCGCGAGGACCAACGGGTGATTTTTCTAAGCTGTCTTCCGGAGTGACTTTATCCTTGCTTTCCGGTATAGACTTTTCGGAAATACTATCTTTCTCCGGAGTGCTCACACCCGAGTGCGAATCTTTATCTATAAGTAAAGAATCTTTATCCGGTGTAGATTTAATAGATGCGTCCTTAAGAGAATCGTCCGGAGTGATGGTCTTTGTGAAGATTATACTGCCGGTTGGACAAATTTCTGTTTCTTCCCTGCCATCCTCGCTGCATGCTGTAACCAGCATCCTTTTGACAGTGCCATCGTCAATTTTTGGAGGTATACTTGTTGATAATTTTTCTTGAGGACTTTTCTCTTCTTTAATTACTGAAGTTTCCTTCATCTCTGTAGTATCTAATAATTTAGGTTTCTTATCGTCATCAAATAGATCTACTTTCGGCTCTTGTGTAAAGCCTGTTGCATCTGCAAGTTTCGTTTCTGACTTTACTTCTTCAGAAACTTTTTCAATAGGATACGCGATATCTTTCAATGTTTCACTTTTACTTGGACTTGTTGGTTTTGATTTATCGTCTTTTGTTGCAAGTTGTGGTTCTTCTTTTTCTTTTTCTTTGATCGCAAGTTCAATTTCTTTCATCTCTACCTTCTCATCAATTACCTTTGGACTTGGCGTGGTTGATTTAATAATAGTTTCTGATATATCCATTGATGGATGTTTATCAGAGAGATCTTTCGATATTTCCTTACTTGATTCTTCAATTAAGGATTTCTCCGGCTTCTCGAATACTAATGGCAATTTCGCAGTCTCTTTCAAAAGAATGTCATCTGTCTTTTCCTTAGCCTCATCCAAGTATTTCTCGGTAGTATCAACGATATCTGATATGTCAGACGCTTCTGGTTCTTCAGGTTCTCGTTTCTCATCAGCGGGTTTAGTGTCTTTCGCGATCTGAGGCTCCTCTTTCCCCACTTTTCCCTTGGTTTCTTGCACAAACTTTTCGTCTGCCTCGATCACTTCACTTACAGTATCTTCTGCGGCTTCTTCAACATCTTCCTTTTCTTTCATTTCATCCGCTTTTTCAGGAGATGTGATTGGTATATCTCGCACTTTATATTCCTGTTCGACAGCTTCGAAATCATCAATCACATCTTTCTCATGTTCTTTCGCAACCAGAGGCGAAATCTCTGGGATCGATTTCTTTTTTGCGTCAGTTGCATCAGAAATCCTTGGTATGCTGACAAATCCATCCACTTCCTTCTCGATGTCTTCCTCTTCAGATGCAGCCGATAATTCTTCTTCAGTACTCATTTCTTGCCCAATGTCCCTCTTGCCCTCTTTTAACTCAATTGGACTTTTTTTCTCTTCAGTGCTGGATACTTCAGAGATCGATTTTCTTTTCTCAGCCAAAACTTGTTCTTCTGAGATTTCCTCCTCGACAATGCGCGATAATTCATCTTCAGTTATGCTAAGTAACACGTGCCTCGGCATTTTTCTTTTAATGATAATTTCTTCTATAATCTCGATTATCATTTTCTTAGGCATTTTCTTTTTACTACAGATTTCTTCAAGTGTTTTAATATTAATGTTACTTCCCTTAGTAACATATTCATTAATAATGTATTCTTCAACTTCTGCTCTTTCTTGCGAAGTTATCGATTCTTCAATTTCCGGAATCTTTATGCTAGGAGCTTCAATAGTTGATTTTTCTTTTTCATCCTCAGGTGTTCTTTTGGATATTTCTAATAATTCTTTCTCCGTTATATCAAGTACCGTATCCCTGGGAATCTTTTTTTAATAATAATCTCTTCGATAATTTCGATAAGAATTTGTTTGGGCACGGTCTTCTTTGCAGAAATTTCATCGATTGTCGATGCGGTGATTTTTTTCCCCTTAGTAACGTACTCATTGACAATAAATTCCTCGATTTCTGTTTGCTTCTTAGACAAATCTTTCTCTTCGATTAGAGTTTCAGGAATTTCAGCAATTGACTCTCGTTTTGCAGTTATATCTTTCGATGCTATCTGTTCCTCCGGCGAGTCTTTTGCTGGTTCTTCTTTAATTATTTCGGATAACACTTGTTCAGGAACGTCCAATACCATGTGCTTAGCGATCTTTCTCTTGATAATGATCTCTTCAATGATTTCAATGACAATTTTTTTAGGCACAACTTTTTTAATTGAGATTTCCTCGACCACTTCTATAGTAATTCGCTTTCCCTTGATAATATATTCATTGATAATATATTCCTCAATCTCCATTCTCTTCTCAGACGTAATAGATTCCTTTAGCCTCAAAATCTCAAGATCATCGACCACGCTTTCCTTGGGAAGTCCTTTCTTCATGATAATTTCTTCAATAATATAAATCACACGTCCTCTCGGAATGCGTTTCACTACAGTGATGTATTCAATCACTTCAATAGTAATTTTCTTCTTTTTTGTGATAATCAATTCTTCGATTATTTCTTCGACGGGTACTTCCTTGCTGAGAACTTGCTTGACATCTTCGGGCAGCTTGGGAGATTCTCGAAAACCACCAATCTCTAATCCTTCATCGTATATCTTGTCCGCGACAAACTTTGGCGATGTTGGCGTAGAACCAGGAGTCACCATCACTATTTCCGCTTTCGCCGGCGAAACTTTTTGTTCGAAACCAATCACAGGCTCCTCTATCTCGTCCTCCGCCTTCCCCTCGAAAGATGGCTCTTTCGCAAGTTTCTTCACGCATACGCTCTCGACACCGGCTTGCATCACGTCAAACCGAGACATATCATCATCGACCGATTTCTCGCAAACATGTTGATCATCCTTTAACATCTCTGCACAAATCTTTTGCGCGCCTTGTTTATCCTTCGCTACATCTTTCACAGGCGATGTTATTATGTCTTTTTTGTCTTTCATCACTTTCGTACAAGGCTCTTCTTTTACCTCAATAGCACCAGGTTTCTCGTACAGTGACAAAAGTTTGTCGGGCTTTTCGATAAGTTCTTCGACCTCTTCGTGAACCGGGAATTCTTCGGTGATACCGACCTGCTTTGGTATCACGTCTTCGTGCGCGAGTTTAGTTTCTTTCTCTTCTAATATAGCGATCTGTTCCGGAGATATTTTTTCACTAGGTATAGAAGGCTTTCTTTCTATCGAAATTGGGGAGATTTCTTCTTTCGATGGTTTTCTGTCCGTCGAAATCGGTAAGATCTCTTCTTTCGATGGTTTTCTGTCCGTTGAAATCGGTGATATTTCTTCTTCCTTAGGAGCTTGATCAAATAATGATTTTTCGGAAAGAAAATCGTCTTCTCTGAGAACCTCGGCGACTTTCTTCACGATTTCTATGACGTCTTTAGGTTTATCTTCAATATCAATTCCAGCAGTACCGGCAAGGACTTCTCCAACATCCCTCATAGCTTCCTTCATATCTCTATATGGTCCTTCTGGTTCTTCTTCGTATTCCTCTTCAAATTCTTCATCCTTTGGTATGTCAAACTTGACTTTCTCCGGTTCCTTTATGTCCGGCAAATGGTCTTCAATGTGCGGCTTTATCTCTTCTAATTTCTCAACTACTCCTGCTAAGGTACTCTTCACTGTATCTTTCAGGTCCGATGGCATTTCATGCACCTCGGCTATCTCCTCCTCTTTAATTTTATCCTCCAAAGATTCTAACGAATCTCTTAAACTGTCTTTTACAGTTTTAAACTTTTTCGAGGCTTCTTCCAAAAGAGCTTTTACCTCTTCTGCATCCTCTCCAATATCTTCTTCCTTCAAAAGTTCAATTTCCTTCGCAATTTCCTCTTCGATTGGCTTTACTGGAGAAATGACGACTGGCAATCTTTCAACATCTTTCGCAAGAATCGATTCCTCAATTTTAGTTTCTGCTTTCTTAAGTTCATCCAATTTGTCGGTTGGAACTTTTTCTTCAATATCTGGCACACTCTTTCTCTGTGCATCCAATATCTCTTCCTGTATAAACGCTGTAGTTTCTTTAATCGTAGCCACTTTCACATCCGTGATCGTCGGCTTCGCTTCTTCGAAAGTTTCAGATTTGTCGACAGGTTTGTCGACAGGTTTTCCAATTTTAGGGAACATTTTCTCCATATCAACATCTTCCAAAAATGTCTTCTCTTGGACTTTTGGTTCTTTCGGAGAACTGGATTTGGAGGAAGATTTTTCATCGGAATCCTTCTCGGAATCCTTCTTTGTCTTTTTAGTCAGTTTATCGATACCTTTTTCGAATTTATCCGCTACCTTGCCGAAAAAGCTGAAGACACCCTTTTGCTCTTTCGCGGGCGGAGTAGGCAGTTCTTTACCTTCCTGCGGAGTTGATGATGGCTTTTCCTCTTTCCCCTTCTCAAAATCTTCCATTCTGTAGAGCTTTGGATCGACTTCTTCATGAACCGGAAGATCGGCGACCTCGTCGGGCGTTTTAACGATATCTCTTTGCAGATTCGTCATCGTTTGACGAACGTCGAATACCTTGACATCTGGCTTAACGACCGCGGGAATAGTTTCCGGAACGACTTCCTTCTTCAGCTTTGCAGGCGCATCCTTCTCCTTTACTTCTTCAATAACATGTTTCTCATCAATGTCCTCCTTTATTTCGTCCAATGGTATTCGCTCGTCTTCAGGCAAAGTTGGAGCAGTTGTAGTGGCTCCTGATTCGATTGTCGAGATTCGTTCCTGAGATTCTTCCATCTTTTCGACAATATTCTCTTTCTGATCGACGTCCGGTTTTATGTCCGTATCGGTCGTCTTTTTCTCCGATGAATCCAATTTATCCGGACTGAGACTCGATGCCTCCTTTGTAACATCTTCACTGTCCTTCTTACCAGAGTCATCTTTCTCTTCGGCTTTCTGTACAATTTCAGCTGCGGAAGCTATTATCTCTTTTACTTCTTCCTGTAATTGCTCCTTATGTTCTGAGGATATTTCAGCAATTTCTTTTTCGCCTTTAGCCTTTTCTATCTTCTTTTCCGGACTATCATCCTTCCCTTTCTCTTCAGGTTCTTCCTTCTCGCCTTTTTCCTTCATCGTTTCCACATCTTTCGCAATCTTTGCTTTTTCTGACTGGGCTTCGTCGAGAACGTGTTTTTGTTCGCCTTCGCCACTTTGAGCAGAATCCTCGGTATAAACCTCTTCCTTCTCCACAATAAGATACTCGTCTTCCTCAGTTAATTCTTGGCTCTCTTTTCTGGACCCTTCCTTCTTAGGCACATCTTCGATCTCGGCGGTGACGTCTTCCTCCGTGATGTCTTCTTCCTTTTTATCAGTAGCCTCAGCTGTAATTTCATCATCACCCTCAAAACGATCGTCCTTTCGGATCTCCTCGATTCTCTCTGCTTTCTGTAAAACGGCTTCAATCTCCTCGACTACCTCTCGCTCTTCTTTAAGATCGGCCAGCACTTTACTCTCTATAGAATCCAGTGATATATCTTCAGATTGCTCGATTAAGCTTTTATCAATTGGTTTTATGACCTCTGGTTCTATGCCGGATGGAGTGGAAACCGTGGACGAATCGGTAGTGCCTTTGTCACCCTTTGCTTTACGAATAATGCCATCTTTGTCCGACTTTACAGAAGCAGTTGGAGTGCTGCGAGTAGATTTCGCTGGACTGCCTGGCATACGGGCTTTGCTGGGGCTGACCGGTTTCGTACGACGGCTGATCGGTTTTCTATCCATCGGTTTAGGCTTCGCGGACACCTTGACGACGGGCGTGGTATCCTTTACGGCGGATTTCTCGATTTCCGATTTCTTCTGCTCCACCACCTTCCTGTTATTGGCTTCTTTGGCGCTCTTGGCTGGAAGACTTGGAGTGACTTTGGCCGCCGGTTTTGCCTTCGACACAGTCTTTGATATCTCCGTCTTCGTTGCGGCACCGTTCAAAATTTTCTTCGGGGTAGTCGGGGACGACTTCACGGCATCTTTTTTCTCCGCACCGGAAGGTTTGATTTTCTTTTCGATCGGCTTCGGCTTCGACGTTACTTCGCTCTTCTTCATTTCAATCTTCGCCGCAACTTTGCTTTCTTTCGGTTCTTTCTTCTTTGGCTCGGGCTTGGGTTTTGGTTCCTTAGGTTCCTTAGATTCTTTTGGTTCCTTAGGTTCCTTAAGTTCCTTAGGTTCCTTAGGTTCCTTAGGTTCCTTAGGTTCCTTAGGTTCTTTAGGTTCCTTAGTTTCTTTAATTGTCTTCTCAGCTTCCGATTTGATTAAATCAGTCTTTTTAACATCGTCCTCCCGTTTTTCGGGCTTCTCCACTTTAACTGGTTCTTTCTTCGATTCCTTCTTTACCTCTTTCAGTTCTTTCTCAATCTTCTTCTCCTTCGTCTCGGTCTCGAGCTTTTTATTTTCTATGACTTTCTTTGTTTTTATCTCGGTCTTGGGCTTACTTGTCGGTATAATCGGTGTCGACTGAGGAGTACTCTTGGGTACAACCTCGTCCGCAGTCTTGGGCTCTGATGGTTCTCTCTTTTCTTTCTTTGGCTCTGAAACTTTCTTGGGCTCCTTCTCGATAAGACTGAGTTTCTGCTTGGCCGGTCTAAGCATCGCTAGGGATGTTGATGGTGATAGCGACTTTGCTGAACATACTGGATGCTTCAGAAAGTCTAGATGTTTAAGTCGTTCAAAACCTTCGAAAATCTTGTGCTGCGGTGTGCTACCAGGGAAAAGAATTCGGGTGATATTGTCTTCAGGATTGGCCGGCTGCCAAACTAAAAGTGCGCATATCGACACGAGATTTTGGATCGGGAATGTGAGATTGTTCGAATCTTTCTTGTGAGAACCTGCAAACAGCTTTGAGTCCGATGCGTGCCACTTCGCTAGGAACTCACGCACCTCACGACTATCCTTGCTCGGACTGAGCACGTACATGTCTAGTGTACCATGGCCCACTTTGTGATAAAGGTTAATCGGATCGGGATCTCTGTAGCAAGGATGAGCGCGGAGATTTATATGTCGAAGATTGACCACCATCTCTTGACCGATGTCAGTCAAATTGAGTATGAGCGGATCGATATCCTTATCGCCATCGGGTGAATTTGATTGTCTTCTTTCCTGCATTGCATATATTTTTGTACTTGAGAAAATGTCGCGGTATGTAAACGATTATTAAAGAAATATTTATATTTTAATTTAATTATTATTATAAATATTGAAAAATAAATATTAGAACAACGACAAATTACTTACGACTAAGTTACAGAAGAAATGGCCGATTTGAGGATAGACATGCATCTCCTTCTTCTTACGAAGAACGCTGAACATGCCGCCGATGTTGCTATTATTTATCCTAGTGACTAGAACAGCATCCAATCGGTCCAGATGCCTGGTGAAGTCCCAGAAGCACGCTTTCCTGGCGAAACCGCCGTCGACGAGCATGTTGAAGCCGTTTATACCGAAAAGCGCGGCGTCACCTTGCCCACCGGGGAAGACGTATAAAGTTGGATGGCTAAATCTAATATTCCCAACGACGTCGGACGGTTCCATTAGCTGGTCCAGTGTTTGCGGTACGAGATACTGTCCGATGTAATTCGTAAAACTCATGATGGCCGGTACGCCAGCTGTGAGAACATCGTCGGGATTCACTCTGACTCTGCAAGATCTGCGGATCACACAAGGACGTGGAATATCTAAGAGAGAAATATCATGCAATATATTATCTGTGTCTAAAAATAATTTTTGTCAACTTCTTGCATGTAACGCCCTATTACATTACACATAAAATGGCCGTTGCGTAACGGTCGCTATTTTTTTTTAATGGAATTATATATTTTTTGTTACGCAGTATGATTCCTCTATTTATTTTGGAAAAAAAAGTATTGAGATACAATTGTCAAAAAATCATTAGTTTGCGAAATATTTTATATTTTATTTTGGCATACTCCATGACACCCTGTATATACACATGATATATATGTGCCATGATAAGAATATATATATTCAACATAAACATTTACGGAATGCAAAATGAAGAAGATTCGTCTTTGTCCCATGTCTCTACGTCTATTTTTTGAAAAGTTATAGCATTTTAAAAATTCGCAGATGCGCCCTTTGAAAAAACGCCGCGCGATTTTTTGCTTAGATGTTCACACCTTTTTTGCCTTCCTAAAAGAAAGTATGAAAACACGTGTAGTACAAGCGCTTTGAGACACACCGCCACCGTGAAAACGTACCATGTGCCATCTATCGTGATCGGATGATTGTCACGATCGATAAATCGAGATTGCGGTCGATATTGTCAATATCTTCTTAACAGGTGTAACAGTATCATATAATTTTTGCTTTTGTTTAAAAAGATAAATAGTGCGGCGTCTAGTCGAACAAAAATTGTTCAAAGATGTGAAGAAATAGATACGCACCTGCAACAGGCTTCCTTAGATAATCGATTTGTTGTCCAATCACCAACACCCGCACAGTGTATATCTACGGTAACGCTATTCTCGTAGGCACGAAGGACTCTTTGCACCTCATGTTCACTGAACGCATCCAGAAAGTCTGCGAGACTGAAGGTTCCATCCTGAACAACAGAGATTGAACAACGTCGATTTCTAATTGACTTCCGGCATTTTACTAGATAACTATTAATTTAACGTTTTAAATCTCGTTTCCACGGGAATTACAAGTCAATATATATATTTGTGTAATAGGTATGTTCGTCTGAAATGTAAGTACCTGCAGTATCCAGGAACCATTACCACCGAATGTGTATCCAGCGTGTATGATGTGCCGATGTTTCGTGAAGCTAGCAAGAAGATTGCGAATACACTGTAGCAACGTATTCGTTTGCGGATGAATGAGAACCTCCGTTACGAGGTTCTCGGTAGCATATTGGATCAACCTTTCGCCTAAAAATTTCATTTTATCGCTCATTAATAAATTACATGACATAATAATAATATAGACGTAACATATTCAAATATAAGAGGAATCAGGTCAATATATATTTGCCGTACGATAATTACCGTTTCTGGCTTCCTCGCCTTCGGGGGCTTGGGCTACCAAGGCCAATAATTCCTTCTCCAGATCTACGTGACAACTGTCCTTGTCCCATGACAGAAAACCTGCAACAATCCAAGAGAGAAACGGCGATCGGTATAAATATTGCCGAAACTTTTAAGCGGGATTTTTCTTCATACATGTTAAACAGACCGCCGTGATATCGGAAAACTTTTGGAATGGAATCTGCATATAAATCACAGCTCGTTTTCAAGATCGGTTGTAACTTTAAGATATTCCGGCGACATGCTCCCTTATGAACTTGGCCAAGCTTTTCGAGTTTAGCTCTGATATTTCGAATGGAAAGTAGGTTGTTCTCGTTTTAGATCATCGCTGTATATGCACGGCCACGTTAAGCCCTCAGTTCTCCAAAATTCACTCTAAGCGGCTACATACATCTCGGAAATGGCCAGGATATAATCTGGGGATTATATTTATTATTCAGCTCTTTAAATCCTTTAAAGGGGACTTTTCAAATATTGATTTAAAATGATATTTTAAATATTGCTTAAGCAGAAAATCCATTTGTAAATATTGTTCAAGCATGAAACGTTTAAAGATGAATGGAACATCCGGTTATAATTGCATATAAATGTACATGACTGCAGCGATATGGCTTCATAGAATAGGGGTAGTTTAGCTATCGAGTGATGTAAGGTTAAGATTAAGATGTTAGGAGCTGTCAAGATCAAATTACGGATTGATTGATGAGAAAAGTAAATTAGGTATCGCATTATATAAGTAGTGTAATTTTTTTAAATGTTTATCAACAAACAAAAGGATGACGCAGATTGAAATAAATATAGGAAATAATATATCTTCATTTATAATGTTTACACTAATTTGTACTTGTAACTAGATAGCTTTTCATTACGCCCACTCGCAACTATAATTAAGTTCTTTGTTATTAAAATTAAAAAAACTCATTTATATTAAAATTAATCATTTTTGTTTTAAATAGCATAAAATAAATTGTACTATAAAACATAGTTAATAACAATAGTTACAATAATAACTAGGATTGCAATTGCTTAGTCAAAAGTGTCATATATCAAAACGCTAATAACATTTTACGTACAATTTTTAAAATTACTATATGAATATAAAAGATTAATTATAAATTACGTTAAGCGACAATTAATACAATAGAAGAAAAGAGAAAGTATTTCTCTCAAAACTTGATTGAATAATTAGGATGAATGAATCAGCAGTCGCAGCCTGTCATGAGGGTTGTCTTGGGGCGGTCGTTTCGTGACGTCACCAACACCGCACCCCGTCACGTGATTCCTTGCCAGCTGGCAATCGATCGTCGCACATCCTGCACCCACCCTCTATTGCCAACTTTAACGCAGAGATACTCTACTTTTGACATCGTGCAAAATATTTCCGATACTCTTTACGCACCCCTTTAAAGATAAATTTTTAAAAAATTAAAATGGCAACAGCAAAAAAATTTCCTTTTAAATTGGAGATAAAAAATTATGCTTAGCATGATAATATATCGATATACTTTATAAAAATGTATATTAAATGCATAAAACCATGTATATTAAATTGCAAACGTATTGGTGTGATATTTATATCTGTAAAATAAATTCTTTGCAATTTCTTTGCAGCTTGATCTTATCGCTCAATATTTCATGATTCAATCTAATCGCAAAGCCTTTCTTAGGCCTTCTTCCACAAACAGAAGCGTTGAAAAAAATTTCACCCGGCATCTCGTATGGAATTAAAGGATTGATGATGCAGCACAATGGAACGTAACTCGTTGCCAAGGGAGTTCGGGCTCGCTCTCGCGTAATTCTATACTAGCGTGTACACAACAAGTCTGGTTCGAGACGTTGCCTGGCAACGTCGTAGTATCAATCAATGCCGAGGATAGAAGGAGCCGGAGAAATAACGAAAAGAAGGAAAAAAAAGAGAAGAGAGAGAGAGAGAGAGAGAGGAAACGAGCAGGAGGCGTTAGCCGGTGCAACGAATTCCGCGCGGCTTCCTCACTGCCTCCAATTTTATCCCGCAATAAGTAAATACGTGTTGCATACTTTCCAGTAAACGTAAACGCTATTAATAGCCCGACTGACGAAATATATATCGCATTCTCACGAAATTACCCTCAAAACCATGAACACGCGGGATACGAATTATTTACGAATGCGAACGGATTGTCTAAACGAAGCAAATTCACTAATTGATCGGTAAATTATTACACAGTTCATTATTCTTTTTGTGCATGTGCATTTAGCGAGCTTTTGAACAACGAAATCGATCTGTAATTGATTAAGTAGATTAATGTTACAAGAAAATAATCTTCTATCTACGTAACATCGCAAATATAATAATAAATGATCTATGTAACATCGCGATGCAATAAATTGTACAGATTGCATGCCAATTACATTGAATCTTATCTGGCAGCGAAAAGTCACATTGTCACAGCATGCTCGACATGTCAAACTGATCGGAAGCCCCAAAAGCTGATACGAGGAAGCCGTTGCTTAATGCTTACAGCTGAGTCGCATTACTTAACGCTTATCGACCCTCCCAGGTTTTGACTGCAATATCAGTATCAGAAACATCGCGATCCAAAAATTTGCATAGTCCTCTGGAGCGAAACGAGATCAATTTAACTCTTTAACATTTAAAACGAGACTCTTTAATATTAAAACCTAACTGATCGATTCGAAAGCTATTTCTTCAAATGCAATTTCGATATGCGAAATGCTATGCTCCAAAATGATCTCCCTATTTATCGGGGGAAAATTTAATCTCATCGAAATTACGATAGTTTCAATTCCCCGATCTACGATTCGCAGGGCAGTAATTTCGTGAACTGTTAATTGATACCAGCGAATTAATGGATTAAAATTTCAATTGCATCTCTATCTGAAAAGTATTTCGTATTTTATTTATGTTTACAGCTTCCTTTCTTTCCGAGGTAAATAATGTTCTCGCGTGAAGCGAAGCGGGTAAGTTTCTCTTTATTATCGAAATGAAGCTTCTAATTGGAATCAGTATGCTCTATGACATATTACCGCATTACCGCATCGGTTGCCGATTTACTATTCTAATGAACTCGATCGTTCGAAACGGATAGTGTTGATTCATCGATGACTGCCATGTCTAGCTGCGGTAATCATTTAGCTAATTAACGAGACCGAAATATCGTTAATTAAGCCGTACGGCTTTCACGAGAATATTGACCTGTGACGTGTGACAAATCAATACTTGGATGTTTCCATGATCGATTATTTCGTCAAATAATTAAAAGACAATAAACACAAGTAATCGTAAAAAAATAATACCAACAATGAAAATTAATTTTCAAGTGTTTATTCAAGGATATTCCAGAAATTTTTCTCTCAGCTTCCCAGACTCATTTCCGATTAAAACATTACCGATTAAAATATTTCCGATTAAATACATTCGCGAAACACTCGCTTTTGTAAAATCAGTAATCTGTTTTATCAACGTCGTGCAATTGCAGTCAAAGGCAAACTGGGCCGTTAATGAAAATAAATGTTTTAATTAAATTGCCGACGGTCTTTGTGCGCATCGCGAATCAACATCGCGAGTTTCCGTTAGACGGAATGAATCGTTGCGTCAATCGAGAAAACCGCGTCGAGATCCGCTATCTCGGAAACGGGCAAATCGCCCGTTAAGAGAAGAAAGACACGATGGGAGAAAAGAATTCGGGCGCGAGCTTCGACAAATGGCACGGAAGAACTTTGCGACGTTAAAATGTCACTCGAATAGAAATGCCGCCGAATGGACGAGAAATAATCGTTGGATAATCCATCAACGATTTATCTCGCAAATGCTAAAGGGCGCGTTTGTTCTACCGAAAATCCTCCGGCTTTAACATCGCGAGGGCGATGTTTCGTCATCGCGCCACGTCAGCGCGTGTGTGCGAAATTCCCGCACACACGCGCACATTTTCACAGAACTGGCTGCGAACGTCGACATATCCAGGTGTACACCGCGGTTTCCTGCTTTCGAGCGTGACGTTCTGACACGTCGCTTGTATTACACGCATAATGGGGGATGTATCTAAATAGGCGATCGTCGTGTGAAAAGTGTAGAAGGACTATTCACGATTGACTACGGGGCAATATATATATATATATATATATATATATATATATATATATATATATATATATATATATACGTACGTACG